ATATATATATATACACACACACACATATACATATATATATATATATATATATATATATATACACACACACATCTATCTATCTATCTATCTATCTGTCTGTCTGTCTGTCTGTCTGTCTATCGCTTTGTCATATTTGGGATAAGTGAATTTTAGTGAAGGATTCATTTTAGTGATTCAAATCAGCTGTAACGTGAGACTCTTTCTGTGCAATTTCTTAAAGGAATTGGCTTGTAAGAGACATTTGTTTGTGAGTCAGAATATACTAGTCACAATATACGGTTGTTTTTGAGTCCAGCAATGCTTAATGTTATTTCACAGCACCCAGGTCTTTGTATCCCATCACATTTCAGATTGCAAACTCACAACAGAAATATCATTTCTCACATTTGCCGTGGCGGTGCAGATTCAGCATCGGCTCAGCGGCGCCACTGACACACACAGAAAAATACATATAGGTCAAACATTCGTTCCAAAACCACAACTGAACTCTTTCTCTTACCATTGCAAAACTTAGAACTGATCTAAAACATACACCAATCAATACAAACTCATCAAAAACACACAAATACATCAACACCATGGAGCCATTTAATCCAATAAGAGAATCAATGAAGAACTGCTGTAATGTTTCCGGAAAGGCTAAAAGAATAACCTTGCAACATCTAAATGCATTACAATGCCCAGATGAACAAAGAAAGCCAGCGTGAGTGTGTGTACACGTGCTGACACGGCAGTAACAGTACCTGTGCAAAATTACATTTCCATTGTCAGCTGCATTGACTTAAACACATTTGTTCTGTTCTGACATATTTCTTTTTTTACCAGGGCGCACATACATACAGCATAAGCCAGACAGGATGTCCCTCTGACCCCATCATGAGATTACTTATTTCACTGCCAACAGCTGGAGCCATTTAAAACAGTGGCATAACTCTCAGATCAGACCGAGAGACTCACCGGAATTACACACACATTCACTCGTGGCACATAGAGGAGCTTATTTAGCAGTCATGAGTAGAAAGGTTTGTGTGTGACCTGTTGAGGAAGTTACTCTACAAACACTCAGTAGTCCATTCAATACTTTAAATCTGACTGACGACCATAAAATAATTATGAAAGCATGGCACAAAGCCAGAAAATCTGATATAGTTATGAAAATGCAACATTCCTCAAGTGTGTCTGTCCATATAACTAGTTTCTCTTTACCATAATAAATGAGATCTATTTCTGAACTCGAGGGCAAACGGCTTTCAAAGTAGACCTATTGTGTGTGTTAGGAATGACTGCAGTGTGTATTTGTGTGTACGTATGATGAAATGCTTAAAACTAATTCAAAATGTATATAAATTGACAAAATTACAGCCAGTCAGGTAAATCTAAAAAATCTAACTTTGGCAACATCCTCAAAGGTAAAAATTATTCATACATTATTATAAAAATGCATGAAGTTCTCTTTTAGGAGCTTTAATGATTTGAGTTAGAGTCAGTCTGCATTTATCATGATTAGCTTCTATTAAAGGCATTTTAGACATTGAGGTAAAGGTGTATGAGATTCTAAAGTAGAACTAACAAAACAGACCCTCTTAAAAAGATATTCCAGCCAAAACTTGTGTTGTTCCAAACCTTTGTCTTCTGCGGAACACAAAAGAAGATATTTTGAAGAACACTGGGAACCAAACGACACTGGATCGACTGTATAAACAAAAACACTGAGACATTTCTCAAAATCTCTTCTTTTTTATAAGTTATAGAGGTTTGGAAGAACATGAGGGTGAGCAAATGATAGAATTTTCATTTTGGATGGAGTATCCCTTTAAAGAGCATCACTTTCAACAGTGTTCCACATTCTCCTGGCATTTTTATCTAACAGCTGTGAGCTCAAAGCACCAGAATCAGGTCAAAATAATCAATACACACCAAGCATGGATGAAAATGACAACGTAGTAATAACTTGTCTCTTTTATTACTTCAAATGAACAGAAAAGGGAGTTGGGAGTGAGAAGGGATGAAACCAGATCTGTTTAAAAGGACTTTTCACAGGTAAACACACATGCTTATGAAAAACACACACAGTTTAAGTGGGCACTTATTGTTAATTTAGCCCATTATTTTTCTCCAGCTCTCTATAAGGGCTGCCATTTTGTGGTCAAGAAAGTGCGGCACAATCAAAAGTGCACTTCACTGTAAATTCATCACTGATATGATTAAGGGGCCAACCCAGTGTAACACACCATCTGACATTCATCCTCTCACAGCCTCATCTGACATTTGTCCTCTCACAGCTTCATCTAGAATTCATCCTCTCACAGTCTCATCTAGAATTATTCCTCTAACAGCCTCATCAGACATTCTTCCTCTCACAGCCTCATCTAGAACTCATCCTTTCACAGCCTAATCTGACATTCATCCCCTCAAGGTCTCATCTAGAATTTTTCCTCTCACAGTATCATCAGACATTCGTCCTCTCACATCCTCATCTGACATTCATCCTTTCACAGCCTCATCTAGAATTCATCCTCTCAAGGTCTCATCTAGAATTTTTCCTCACAGCCTCATCTGACATTCGTCCTCTCAGCCTCATTTGGCACTTATCCTCTCATGACCTCATCTGACATTCATCCTCTCAAAGTCTCATCTCGAATTCATCCTCTCACATCCTCATCTGACATTCATCCTCTCACAGCCTCATCTAGAATTGATCCTCTCACAGCCTCATCTAGAATTATTCCTCTAACAACCTATTCAGGCATTCTTCCTCTCACAAACTCATCTAGAATTCTTCTCACAGCCTCATCTGTTGTTCACCCTCTCACAGCCTAATCTAGAATTCTTCTTCTCATAGCCTCATCTAGAATTATTCCTCTAACAGCCTCATCTGACATTCATCCCCTCACGATCTCATCTAGAGTTTTTCCTTTCACAGTATCATCAGACATTCGTCCTCTCACATCCTCATCTGACATTCATCCTCTCACAGCCTCATCTAGAATTCATCCTCTCACAGCCTCATCTAGAATTATTCCTCTAACAACCTCATCAGACATTCTTCCTCTCACAGCTTCATCTAGAATTCTTCTCACAGCCTCATCTGACGTTCACCCTCTCAGCCTAATCTAGAATTCTTCTTCTCATAGCCTCATCTAGAATTCTTCCTCTCAGTCTCATCTGACATTTATCCTCTCACAGTTTCATTTAGAATTGATCCTCTCATGGTCTCATCTAGAATTCTTCCTCTCACAGCCTCATGTAGCATTCATGCTCTCATAGGCGAATGGAGCATTCATGCGCTCACAGCCTCATCTAGCATTCATCCTCACAGCCTCATCTGACATTCATTCTCTCAGAGTCTCATCTAGCATTCACTCTCTCACAGCCTCAGAGTTCTTCCTCTTACAGCCTCATCTACCATTTACCCTCCCACAGCCTCTTCTAGCTTTCACTCTCTCATAGCCACATTAAGAAATCACCCTCTCACAGCCTCATACTGCATTCGTACTTTCACAGCCTCATCAAGCATTCACCCAGTGCATAGAGGGATAAGTCTGATTATAATGACTGTTATGATCTGCAGGACTCATTACCGAAATGGCTCATCTAGAGGATGCAGTCTCTTGCGTACAGTCATGCAGCAAAGCTTTTAAAACCACTGATACACAAAAAGATAGATATGAGCAGATAAAACCTTTCTCTCTGACAGATCTCTTCATAAAAGGAATGAATGTTCCGCCCGAGCATATAATGCAGCATCTAATATCAATATGTAAACAGCTTCTAGCTTGTGAAAGGAGATTTGGAGACATATGGTCTCATCACAGCTCATAATTTGTTCTGAGAGCAGTGTGCATGTGATGTCAG